CGCACAACCGCTGCCATTTTGGGGACATAACTGAACAGTAGAAACTTGGTTGTTTTTGGTTTTGCGTTGGGTGTTTGTTTTGGTTTGTGTTCCTTTTCCCCATCAACAAGTTATGTTTCCTTTTCTTCAACGATGACCTGGGCACTCCGCCCACATGGCGTCCGCACTCGTGGAAAAAAAAACCAACCAATGTGGGCAGTGTTTCCTCTGTACTGAAGTAAGACAGGTGAAAAAGACGAGCTGCCAAATATCTACAGGCCTGAATTCACTACGAAAGGCAAAATGCTTCTGATCGTGGGTAGTTGCTCTGATCGGCCAATCAAAGGTGGCCTCACTCCGTTGGCAAGGATGAGGTCATCCAAGCCATTTGATGGTTGGCACTCGAAGCATTTGGACATCATACGAGGCACCGAGAGCAAAGTCAGCAGTTAACAGATGACAATTGCCAAAGAGTCATCAGTTGCAAAGCATTGCAAGCCGTGGAAAATTCCCTCTCCGTGGCACAATCCATACTACTGATTGCACATACGAAGCGCAAAGGCTTATCTAGAGTGTGGCAGTGGAAGGCATCGCAACGAAAGGACTGCTAACGACGTGCTGATTTCCGTCCCTCAAGGGAGGCACAACATACACCCAATGGCGCCCACGCGATGGCCAAAGGGATTATAGAAGGTGTTCACTCTTCCATTGGATAGTGAGCATTGAGGTCACCATCTTTCAACACGCATGGCCATGTGAAACAGGTGAAACAGAGACCTATCCTTGCATGGTACTTATGCCATCTTTGCACAAGATTGGCTGTGGTTCGGCTCAGACGAGCAACTGAGGTTCTCCCTGGGCGCCATCCATCAACCGCTCTGCTGCCACCCGCGCAAAATTGCAGGCGATGAAGGCGAGAATGACGACCCTATCTGCTTTTCGGAGCCGAACTTGCGCTCGAACAGTAGGAGAAGTACAGGGGAGGCCCACTGTGGCGACCCCGGGCTCCCAGCGCTTTTCAACCTCGTTTTTGGGGCCGCTAAATTCACCGCTGCAACTGCTGCAGCTCACCGCACGACTTGGAAACAGCTGCGGGCTAAAATTCTTACCAGGCCACCTTCAAGCCCTGTGGATTCCAAAAACGCAACAACCAATCCACTTTCAATTGGGACTCCTTTAAAAGAGTTATAAGGTCCCGGGTCCCCGTTCGGCCTCGTCGGCCTCGTTCAGCGTAGAGAGGATGGAAAATGGCCTGTCTTTGGAGGCCTCGCTCGGCCTCGTCACGCGCGCAGTCGGCCTCGCCCAGCGTGGAGAGGAGGTGGCAACAAGGCCTGGTCCGGCCTCGTCATCGGTGTGACAGACCTCGTCCAGCGTGGAGAGGACACGAAATCAGGTCTCGCTCGACCATTGGAAAACTACTTGGGGTTCAACTTCCAAAACACCCGCTCCATCTCAAAAAACGTGCAAGCTCGACTGGAAAAGTGCTCAAATCATTCTGGGGCACGATTCCAACCAACTCAACAGCCCGCCCACATCACATAAAATCAAAAAACAAACGGAACCAGGGTCGGTTGCCAAAAATCTCCGCCGCGCATGGAAATTGTCGGCGACGCTCAAGGCGCCAGGAGCAGCAGGCACATCCATCAGTCAAGCCAGCGACCTCTGCTGCCAATTCTAGCCCCGTATTTGTGCAGGTTGGCAACAGAAGCTTTTGGATTTAGAATTTTCCGCTTCAGGTCAATTTTTGCCGGAGGTTTTGGTTTCCAACTCAGACATGCCCAGAATTGGCAGTAGAGGTCGCTGGCTTGGCTGATGGATGTGCCTGCTGCTCCTGGCGCCTGAATGTTTGACAATTTCTTGCGCGGCGGAGAGTTTTGGCGACACACCCTATGTGATGTGGGCGGGCGGTTGAGTTGGTTGGAATCATGCCCCAGAATGATTTGAGCGCTTTTCTGGTCGAGCTTGCGAGTTTTTTGATGTGGAGCAGGTCATTTGCAAGTTGAGTCCAAGGCAGAAGCAGTTTTCCAACGGCCGAGCAAGACTTGATTTCATGTCCTCTCCATGCTGGACGAGGTCTGCTACTGCCGGACTTTTTGGCAGGGTGTTCGCCGCGTATAGGCGCAGGTTGGCAGCAGAAGCTTTTTTGGATTCAGATGTTCCCGTTTCAGGTCAGTTTTGTTTCCAACTTAGACATGCCGAACACCCTGCCAAAAAATCCGGCCCAACCAACTTCGCAACCCAAAACGCGCCCGCGGAAAAAAACAACAAACCACGCCAGAACAGCTGGATCACAACGCTGGCATGCTCCGCCGGCGGCCCCAAAAACGAGGACAAAAAACGCTGTAGAGTCCGGGGTCGCCACGGTAGGCCTCCCCAGTCGCCGTTGGACGCGGACGCAATGGAGGGCGTCGACGCTGGACCTGCAAGGCTTGGCGTTTCCGTGGGCAGGTATCACCTCACCTGGATTGGCTGCCGTGCGTTTTCAGCGTTTTTTGACGGAAATGCATCAACGAGCGGTCCCTATTTTGGGGGACGGAATCTGACCCCCAAAACTGGGGGACAACTTGAACATCATTTTGCTCTGCCATTTCGTTGCCTCATGACCTCCGTTTTGTGGGTTAGATTCCGTCCCCCAAAATAGGGGCCCCTCGTTGATGCATTTTTGTAGCGCTTCCGTTCAAAAATGCTGAAAACCCACCGTCGATCCGAGCCATTCCAAGTGCGAGGTGAGATTGCTGCCCACGGGAACGCCAAGCCTTGCAAGGCCAGCGTCGACGCCCGGATACGGCCAATGTTTGCATTGCGTCCAACGGCGACAGTCGCCGTTCGAGTTCACCTCTGGATTGACACACTTGAGATCACTTTTGAGGGCAAAAGTTGGGATCTTAGTTGATGTCTGATCCTCAGTTGCTCAAAGAAAACGAGTAGAAGAAGAGAAGAAGACAGAAGAAGAAAGAAGGTAGCGCTATGCGACCCAAGAAGGGGCGTGAAACTCAGCGTACAGCGCACGTGTACAGTGTATGGCACCTAGTGCTTGCTTCTTTAGGGAATTTTCGTTTTTAGAGTGCTTGGGGTTGGAACTGAGTGGTGATCTGTGCCCTTTTTTGTGTTTGACCTTTGACCACCTTAGCAGGAGGATGTTTGAAGTGGCAACTTGTGGCTAGGAATAGTTTAGAGAACCTTTTGGTGAAGCACGAGGTCTTTGGAGACTGTTTGAGATGGTTCCTTGTAGTTTTGTGTAGGTTTGAGATGACTATGGGTAGTCTTGTATTTTTTAAGAAGAGTGGACAAACTTAAGAGAAACTTTGAGAACGTTTGAGACAGTCTACACCGACTGTGACTTTGGCTCAAGGAGCGGGATCGAAAAGGAAGCTTGCGCTACTGTGTTTTCACAGGCTCCGCAGGAGGTTTCGGAGCAGATTCCGGGAGCAAGTTCCCGGCGCAGGTTCTGGCAGCAGCTTCCAAGGTTCCGGAGCAGATTCGGACCAGGTTCCAGAGTGTGGGTTCTGGAAACGGTTCTCAAGGTAATTGCCTCGAAAGCTGGACTCGCACCAGGCCCTGCCTGCCACGAAATCACTTTGCGCCTGTGACGAAATCATTTCTTTTGAAGGATCCTGAAGACCACGACGGTTCCCACGTTGCATCAAAGTTATTTCTTTGTGAAGGATCCTCCCGGTTCCCACGCCAATGGGGTGGACTGTGGCTGCGCTTCTCTCAACCCCGCGCCGCAAAAATCTGCACCAATTGCAGCAGAGTGAAAATTCTAGGTCGTTTGCAGACTTGTGCCGAGTTGTGGTTCCGCTCCATTCTGCTTGAAATTTGATTTTGGTCCTTCGAGAGTTGCTCGCAGCAACAGCAGCTACCAGCAAGGATCTGGAACTGAGGGCACCCTTGTAGTTCTTCTCTTAGAAGCCTTCCTTCCCCAGAGCCCGTTGAAACTCGGAATGACCTTGAGCGACCTTAACCTATAGACTGAGGGCGTTCAAGGTCCAAAGCACAGCCACGGCAGCCACAACACGGCCCGCTCCAACTTCGGAAGTCACAAGTTTGCTCACCAGCACCTGTCAGGCATCATGGGTTTCTTTGCAAATCGGGAGGAGTGACTGAGTGACAGCTAGGATTTCAAGACTTGTTTTGGATTGGAAGTTTGCGTTGTCTCTAGGAGTCTTTTGGAGATTGAACATGTCCGACAGCCGTTGTGAGTGGGGAAAGCTCAGCTTGTCCCCAGGCGTGCGTAGTTGACTTCGGTGGGTTTGCAGAGAGCGTGTGTGAGCATTTTCATTCTCATGAGCTGCTGATTTTCGCCACCAACCCGGCAGCCTCTTTGATGCAGAGGATGAGGCCGCTAAAAAGGCCCCGGAACAATCGTTGGCTTCCGCGGGGGGTCTGAAAGGCTTCAACAATTTGCTGCTTTTGTTGGAGAGCACCTCCGCGCAATCTACGCGATGATGATTTGGACTGGCTGGAATCTTGCGCAGTTCTTTTCTGACTATGATCATTTGGCTGGAAACATACTTCCCAACACTCATCACGACATGTACTTCCCCTTCTCCGAGTTCCCAATGTATGCTTATACGAAGGAGAACTGGTTGCTTAGGTGATGGTTCATTTCGATGGTCACAGCATGAAAATGCTCCAAACTTAGATCAATCAAGAGGGAGGACCTGGACCTTTACAAGGCATGTTGGAGATCCATGAGGGGGTACGGTATATAGTCCAAATATAGTCCAATTGGAAAATGAGCTGGTACGGGGGCGTCCGATGGCTTACCTGGCAAGGAGACCACCTATGCCATGTGGAGTTGCGCATTTCTTCTGCTCGCCTGGGGGGCGCTGCTCATCAAAATGATCCACGATGTGAATGAGGTGATGCCGCCTTAGGCGCGAATCCGATCTCCAGAGATCAGAGGCTGCAACAAGCAGTCTGGACTGATGGCCTTGACAAAAAGTTGAAGCGTGCCCACAGATGAACAAACACGTTGAATGGGTTCTTTTTACGGATTTTGTCAAACAGTGGGCTAGCCGTCGCCATTATCGTTTTAATCTGGACCTGTGCGATGGCCAAACTTTGGTGAAGGAGGGTTGGAAACGAGATTTGAAATGAGAGAGGGTTAATACAGTAAAGACAGCTGATGAAAACAGAATGAATTGACGCTGAGCATGGAAACCATGTTGGGCACGATGTTGGGCACGCAGCAGCTGTTTGCCACCGAACCAGTTTGTTTGGACAGCCATTCTTCCGAATGGCCTGGAGACTCCCGTTCTTCCAGCTGACAGTGGTCGTAGCTTTGACAAGGTCGGCGAACGAAGACTCCAGGGATGTGATCTCATGTGTCGCCGTTGAATGTGATGGATTTGAGGATACAGTCTCACTTCTCATGACTGTGCCCCAAAACCCTGAGAAGTCTAACAATGCACTCGGGCCTGCGACTGGTGGAGGCAGCGGAGGCGGCCAGCTGGCCCAGCTGGGCCAGGTGTCGAATTTCTTGTCCAAGTCTTCGGAGCCAGATCGAATGCCACATCCAGATCATTTTGACGAAACATGGGACCGCCTCAAGAACAAGACTGCCAAGCTCCCGCTGTGCAGAGCTTTCCCCAAATATTGCGATGTCAAATCGGTGACCTATAAGGTCGAGGTCTTGGCAGCCTCCATGATGTGGGAATCTCTCTTGGGCGTGGGCGGTGCAGTGGTGATCCTGCAAATCCTGATGTTTTACATTGCTGGTGTTTGCTGGAACACAGGGCTTCTAGGTAGACTTTGGCCAAGGGTTTTTGGTGCTGATGGATCTGATGAACGTGGATTCTCAACTCCAACTTCTGCTTTGGACCCAGCTGAACCTCACCTGGCTGGCTGGGCATCATGGCTGGCGCCGCCGCAGCTTGCTTGGCCCATGAAGACCTGGTGTCAATGGTGGCAGTTGGGACCACGGCTGTCTCGACCCATTGCGACGATGCAACTTTACGTCGCCCTTGTTGGCGCCCAGTTGGTGTTGTCTTTTCCATGGGTACTGTAACTCTAGATCTCTCAGAGAGGTTTTTACAGGTTTTTGCTTATAGTCTCGTTCGGGCATCGGAAAACCTTGAGGTTTGCTGCCTACTCTTGGTGGAGGTCTTGGCTCTGGTGACCCCCAATTCCTGTGTCTTAGCGACCGCAGAGATGGTGGGCTTCGTACGCAAGTACCCTAGACACTTCAACTTTTTGCCCCACTTTGGAGAGTGGTTCATGCCCAATTTCGAAGACAATGTGGATGCTTGGGTCAGCTTTCTAATCTTTGTGCGGCGATTGCTTGTGGTTTCGTGGAGCCTTTTCATTCTTTTGCCACAGAAAAGGAAGGGACTTTGGCAACTCAGGCGTGCAAAGTAGGCTTTTTGGACCATTTTGAACAAACTACAGGCATCCTATTTTTAGGATAGTGCCCTTGATTGGCTTTGAAATCGCTGGTGGCAACGAACGATTTTTGTTTGCAATTTCTTTTGCAGTTCAGGCAAGTGGCGTTGGGGGTCAGCTACACTTGTGGTGCGTTGGCTTACACCTACTTGAGCATGATAGAGTTGACGTACCAACCTTCCCACACCGTCCAAGGAACGACACTCTTTGTCTTCTCCGCTATGTTCGTAGTGCCCTTCCTGGAGACCAACCCAATGGCAGGGAATTGGTTGCGGAAATTCCTGCTTCTCAATGTGGTGATCCCCTCCTATTGGTTCGCAGGCTTGAGCAAGATCAGGTGGGCTGCCTCTCGTGTTTAAGCTGAAACCACATGGGTCAACCATGAAAAAGAACATGATAAATTGCAGTAAATTGCCGTATACAATTCGCACACCAATGTTTTGACGTTTTCCCGAATGAGTGGCGGAGGATTCTCGTTTAACTCTGGGGGTAGGGCCTTGTTCGCGACTCGTTGTCGCGCGCAACCGTTGTCAACCGTCCGCAACCGTTTGCAACCATTCGCGGTACGGGGCTAAGGCGCTGACATTGGGGGAAGGTTTTGGAGGGGGTTTTGGATGGAAGCATGACGTGCCAGATTCGTGTGAGAAAGCGAGGAAACGTGTGGAGACGTAAGATGTTGAAGTGTGGAGGATCATTTCACTGCGCAGGCGCAGCGTTCTGGGAGACCCGCAATTTTCTGCGTAGTCAGATTTGGATTGGCGTTTGGAGGGTGGTGTTTTTTGGGTACTGGATGTGGCTGTGACATTGGGATTTGTTGTTGAGGGTGTTGCATCGAAGCTGTGTTTTCGTGACAAGTCTCAGCCAAAACGGTGAGTTTGGTGAATGGGAGCGTGGTCAGAACGTGTCGAAATGATTCCAAACTTGTGGTGTGCTGTATGTTTTGTTAAATCTCACGTGATATGAAGTTCTCACTCTGAGTCTTCGAAATTAGCAACTTTGCTAATCGAAGAATTTACATATTTTTCAATTTACTAAGGAAAACTTAGGTGAAGCAATACGTAACTTAAATTACGTAAATTAATTTAGGTTGCAACCTAAAGATTGAGGTTACAACCTAAAGGTTTTTGGTTGGAACCTCAAGATCATCCACAGGAAAATGTAAAAATATGCAGAAGTAAACTCTCAAGATCTCGAAGGCAGAAAACTCAAAACTCCAAGCAAATCTTCAAGTAGCTGCTCAAGACTCAGGAAAGCCTTCACAAGTAACTGCTCCACATATGCTCAAAAGTCCTTGGTAAACGTATTGCGCAAGGACAGATGACAGATGAAAATCATCAATTTCTGTATCATTTTTCTATGGTTATTTGTGTATGTTCATTTACTTGTGAGTGTCAGAACATTTACTTGAACATGTGGATTTTACTTGAGCATTTTCTGGTTGATCATTTCCTTGAGCATGTGGATTATTGACCTGAACATTTTCTGGTCCATGTACTGAGCATTCCTGTGAGGTTGAACACCCAGTTTTACTTGTCATCTATCTTTGCACTTTCCACATCAAGGGCATTTGTTCTGTAACATTTGAAGCCTAGCATCAGTGAATCAAGGCAATCCATATATGGAATTTGGATAATGGCATTTGGGTAAATAAACCATGCATATCTTGGTACTTGGCAGCTTTGGCACTTGGAGTATGTTCACTGTGGATTTTACTGCGCATGTGTATTTGAAGTAGCTGACGTGCCAAGACTCCTTGATCTTTATCTTTCTGTCACCATGCCAAGACTTCTTGCGCGCAATGTGATGTACAATTGCCACAAATATGAAGCATGGTTTGCCAGATGTACAAGCTTTGGGTTTACTGTATATTTTCCCAACTCCCCCAAGTTGATGTAGAAAACTCAATCAATCCTGCTGTCTTGCATAAGGAATTCATGACTTTTTAAAATGAATTTATGAATTCCTTTTGCACTTTTTAAACATGCATAAGAAATGCATAAAGCATGCATAGGGAATGCGCAAAGAATTGACGAGGAATTTGAGAAAAAATCGAAGTCTTCAGACACAAAACATCACAGAACTCCGAACTTTTCTCAAACAAAAGCTCGAGCAAGTTCACACTGCCTGAGAGGCAAATCCAAGAGTGGCTCCACACAAAATCACAACTTCAGGGGTTTCTTCACATGAGGGTTCTTCACTTAAGAATTGTTCTTTTGAAAGTTTTTCATTTAAGATTTTGAAAGGTTTCTTCACATGAGAGCTTTTTATTAAAAACATATTCACTTGAGAGTTCTTCCTTTGAAAGTTCTTCACTAGAGAGCACTTTGAGGGTTCATTGTTCCTCCCCTCCTTGCGTCGGTTTGGATGTCTGCTTTCTCTTTGCTCTCTCTCTCTCTGCTCTCTCTTTGCTCTCTCTTTGCTCTCTCTCGCTCTCTGCTCTCTCTTTGCTCTCTCTTTGCTCTCTTTGCTCTCTCTTTGCTCTCTCTGCGCCCTCTCTCTGCTCTCTCTTCTCGCTCTTCTCGCTCTTCTCTCTCTTCTCTCTCTTCTCTCTCTTCTCTCCCTTCTCTCTCTTCTCTCTCTTCTCTCTTCTCTCTCTCCTCTTACTTGGCAACTTTTCTGTTTAGAAGAGCTTCCAGGAACTTGTGTTGTTGCTCATGATTTCCTGTGATTTTTCGTCATCTGTTTTGAATATGTGTTCAATCTTTTTGTGCTTCTTGTCGCTTTTTAAATGTATTTTTGGTGCACTTGTGATACTTAAATGAAATTAGGTAAAATTGCCATTTACGTAAATTTGGAACCTAAATTTTCAATTTACGTAAAATCATTGAACGTGTAAAATATCTAATTTCGAAGACTCAGGGCACTTTTCGTGGCAGGCGCAGTACTTTGTGCGGGCTTTGAGGTGTGGAAGTGCGATTTTTGCGCGAAGCGCCGGGAATCGTGAGGTTGTGAGGCTGTGGGCTCAGTACTTTGTGCATCTTGGAGGTGTGGGCGTGCAAACTTTCGCGGCCGGCGCAGGGAATCGTGAGATTGCCAGTTGTGGTGGCGCTGTGACATTGGGATTGGCGTGTGAGGGGGTATGGTTTGGAGGGGCCTGGAATCGCAAAACTGCATGGCAGGGCTGCTTGATGTGTGCGCTCCGATGGGGCTTCCCGCTTGACTTAGTCTCGTGCGAAATGCTCGTTTTGGAGACTTGGACATGACTTTTGGAGGAAGTCTCGCGCAAAAGGCTCGTTTTGGAGACTGGACGCGTGACTTCTGGAGGACGTCTCGTACGAAGCGCTCGTTTTTCAGACTTGAAGTGTCAGTTTTTGAGGAAGTCCCATGCAAAACGCTCGTTTTGGAGACTTGAAGCGTGACTTTTGGAGGAAGTCTCGTACGAACCGCTCGTTTTGCAGACTTGAAGTGTCAGTTCTTAAGGAAGTCTCGCGCGAAACGCTCGTGTGGGGACTTGACGAGTGAATTTTGGAAGAAGTCTTGTGCGAAATGTTCGTTTTGCAGACTTGACCTGTGACTTTTTTTGGAGGTAAGCTCGTACGAAACGCTCGTTTTGAGACCTGACGATTGACTTTTGGAGACTTTAGCAGTAGTGCCCCACAAGGGTGTGTACCGCAAGAGTGCCCGACAAGAGTGTCCTACAAGAATGTCCCACAAGAGTGCCCTACAAGAATGTCCCCCAAGAGTGTCCTACAAGAGTGTTTTGCAAGAGTGTCCCACAAGAATGCCATACCAGAGTGCCCCACAAAAGAGTGGCCCGCAAGATTGTCTTACAAGAGTGTTCCGCAAGAGTGCTTGACAAGAGTGCCTTACAAGAGTGTCGCACAAGAGTGTTCCACAAGAGTGTCGGGCAAGAGTGTCGGACAAGAGTGTCCTACAAGAGTGTCCCACAAGAGTGTCCCACAAAAGTGTCCCACAAGAGTGTCACGCAAGAGTGTCTTGCAAGGATGTCCGACAAGAATGCGTCCGGCAAGATTGTTCTACAAGCCCCACAAGAATGCCCTATAAGAGCGTCCTACCAAGAGTCTCCTACAAGGGTATCTCGCGAGAGTGTCCTAGAAGAGTGGTCCGTGTCCCACAAGTACAAGAGCTACAAGAGTGTCCCGCAGGAGTGCCCCACAAGAGTGTCCGACAAGGGTGCCCTACAAGAGTGCCCCGCAAGAGTGTCCGACAAGAGTGTCCTACAAGAGTGTCCCACAAGAATGACGTACAAATGTTTCGCAAGATCGAGTGCCCAGCCAGAGTGTTCCGCAAGAGTGTCCGACATACAAGAGTATCCCACAAGAGTGTCCCGCAAGAGTGTCCACAAGAATGTCCGACATGAGTGTTGCGCAAGAGTGTCCTAGAAGAGTGTCCCGCAAGAGTGAGTGTCACACAAGAGTGTCCCACGAGAGTGACAAACAAGTGTGTACACAAGAGTGTCCCGCAAGAGTGTCCCACAAGAATGTCCGACAAGAG